GTTCAAGCAATTCTTGTGCCTCTGCCTCCTGGGTAGCCGGGACTACAGGTGCGTGCCACCGCACCTGGCTAATTTTTGTATTTTTAGTAAAGACTGGGTTTCACCACGTTGTCCAAGCTAGTCTCAAATTCCTGACCTCAGGTGATCTGCCCGCCTTGGCCTCACAAAGTGCTGGGATTACAGGCATGAGCCACCACACCCAGGCAGTCATTTTTATTTTAGCCATTCTTTTAGGTATGTAATAATATCTCATTGTGATTTTAATTTGCATTTTCCTAATAACTAATAAAAAAGTTTATTTCCTAATAACTAATAAAAAAGTTCATGTACACATTGTTCATCAGTTTTTTTTTGAAAAAATATCTGTTCAATTTTATTCATCTGGTTTTTAATTAGTTTTGTCTTTTTATCATTTATTTATAGGTTTTTATTCATGTATTCTGATACAAGTCGTTTGTTAGAAACATATGCAGCCAATATTTTCTCCCAGTCTATGGCTTGTTTATTCATTTTCTTAGTGGTATTTTGATGAGCAGAAAGTTTTAAAATTCGATGTTCAGTTTATCAATTTTCTGTTACACAGTTTATGCTTTTTATTTTCTGTCAAAGCACTCTTTGCCTACCCCAAGTGGCAAAGATATTCCCTTGCGTTGCCTTTATGGATTACTTTTACATGTATAATTCATTCTGAATTAATTTTGGTTTATGGAATAAGAGGGATTGAGGTTATTTTTTTTCCCCGATATCCAGTTGTTTAGAAACCATTCGTTACATACTTTCCTTTCCTCATTGAGTTGCTCTAGCAGCTTTTTTGAAAGTCAGTTGACCATATATGTATGGTCTGTTTCTCGGCTATCTTTATGCTTTATGCGGGTACTACAGTGTTGATTACTGCTGAAATTTTGATAGGGATTGCATTAATATATCAGTTTAGGGAAAATGGACAAGCAGCTTCCCATCCATGAACATGTTACTTCTTCCATTTGTTTTGGCGTTTGATTTCTCTTAGTGGTGCTTTGTGCTTCTCAGTGTAGAAGTCTTACATATACTCTATTTGGCTTATTCCAAAGCATTTTTTGTGCTGTTATTAAGGATAATTTCTTAAAATTTTCTTCTCTGTTTGTTGCAAGATTTGCTGATTTGTTAATTTTGAGTCTGTTGCTTCCAAGACACTAAGTTTTTCAACTTCAGCAAAATGCATTTCAGTTTAGTACTGAAAGAACATGGAAGTCAGTTAAAATAAATTCACTTTGCAACATTAAATTTATAACAGACCTATTCTGTTAATTAAGAGGTATCAGGATTCTCTCTACTTGATTGATGAATGTTGTTGTCCTCAGAGCTCCCTGTTTGATTCAGCTGGCATTTTTTGAGACTATAAGGAAGTCCATGCTTTTTTTTTTTTTTTTTAATGGCTGTTTCTGGTTCCTTAATTAGATAGTAAGCCCCTAGAATATACAGTGCTTTAGATTACATCTGTCTTTTATTTGATAAGTGAATGAATGAATTGGGACTAGCTTTGGGCTCTCAAGAGTAGGAAGGTTTTTGGCTAGTGGAGAGTAAAAGAAGTTAAGGGCAAGAAATAAGATTTGACAACAGAAGGAAAATGACTGTGGTCTTTTAGGGTCATAATGAGTCTACCTTCCACAGGATAGCTCAGATTTAGAAATAGTAGGAACAAAATTAACATACACTTTGAGATCAGAAACCCTTTAAACCTAGGATTAGGGGCTTGTTTTCCCATTGGCAATAGAGAAAAATTTCATATTTTTAAGAATGTGTGTAATGACACCATTTTATGAGTAGCCCTTGTAATTAAAACTTCTATTTAACACATTCTAGTGTCTTGCATTCCACTTGTAAATCATAGATATATTTGGACTGGGTTTTAATTTCTCATAGCTGTAAAAGCAAACTATCAGAAACTTGGGTGGTTTCAAATATTTATTCTTTTATAGTTCTGAAGAAGTCCAAAATAATTATAACCAGGCTGAGTTCAAAGTGTTGGCAGCACTGCACTCCCTCTGGAGGATCTGATGGAGAATCCATTGCTTGTCTTTTCCAGCTTCTGGAGGCTGCAGGCATTCCTTGGCTTGTGGCCACTTTACTCCAGTCTTCAAGGGCAGCATTTCAGACCTCTCTCTGCACTGTCTTCACATCACCTTCTCTTCTGTGTGTCAGCTCTCTCTCTGCCTCTTTCTTCTAAGAACACTTTGAATACATTTAGGGTCCAACCAGATAATCCAGCAAAATCTTCCCATTTCATGAACTACAATGTAATCATATCTGTGAACTTCCTTTTTCCAAATAAAGTAACATTTACAGGTACCAGATATTGGGACGTGATATATTTGGGGGCCATTATCAGCCTACCACAGACAGTTATTCCTTTTCTTAGACCTTCACTTTGCTCTGAAAGTTGCTGTCAAAACACATTGGACTAAGGCTTTAAAGCATCCCAAATTATATACTTATTTTCTTGCTATATTTGTAATTTTTTAATGGAGTGTACCCATTAAATAAATGTCATGGAATCTGAATAGACTTAAAGCCTCAGATGGTGAGCCCCTTGTTTCAGTTACTAATCAGAAAAATACCAAATTAGGGAAAGAGATTGAATTGTACTTTCACTATCATAGAACTGATTTGTGACTCATAATAAAATTTAGTAGTATTTTTTAGTTTAGGGCATCCAGGAATTAATTCCTGGTTTTATAGGGCTTTCTTGGTTAGACTTGTACATGATCAGGCCTAACCTCTTCTATTCATTGTACCAAGTAGACTTTCTTTATTGGCCCATGAGAAATTACCTACCTGTTGATCTTTACTCCTACTCTATAGCTACAAATTTAGAACAAGTTCTCCAGGGCCTTAATGCTTGTGACATACTGAAATTAAGAGTTTTCCCATGTAAATGTATCATAAATGTATCATGGCTTATTTGAATATGTTACATATAATAACATTTAGTTATACTAAGCTTGTTAGACAAACCTTTGTGTAGTGTTAGAGGAATGGGTCAGCTAGAGAACTTTAATGCAGCCAACTCCACTTTGGCTTAGGGATATTGCTTGAATATTCCAACTTTAGAGATTGCCAAAACCTCAGTATAGAAATAACTTTTATGAGCATCATTTAATAAATCACGGGCAAAGAACATGAAACAATAAAACCTTAGTTTCCTTTTCTTCAGTACTTACATTAGTTTAAAATATCTAAATGTTGATAACTGATAGATTTAATAGGAAGAGAAGTAGTTTGCCAAAGGGAAAATGGAAGCCTATTCCTCGTTGTCTGCCCTAGAATCTTTCTCCCAGCCTGTATAATGTTTACCAGGTTGTTCTGTGTAACCAAATACCAGAATAGCGTTTGCTGTGCTAGAGAGCATCTTCAGCAGTGTGAAGAAGTTCATCCTGAAAATGAATCTATTTTTAAAATAGTCTGTGATTTAATTAAAACTTACATACTTTACAAATTCTAGATTGAGAATTGAAGACATTTTGCTTCATGGTACTTGACACAACTTACTGAGTGACTTTGGCCTTAGCAATTTAGATAATAAATGACATGGTACTTGCAATTTTTTTTTGTGCTCCTGATAATGTCTGCAAGGCAGTCAATGAAATAACTGAAATTATTGTACCATTAATTGAGGAATATATGAACCAACCACACTGATGAGTCATGAAATGTACATATGGTTATTTGCCTGTTTTATTGTAAAAACTTGGAAAAAAGAGTAAGACATTTAAAAAAAACTATTCTGCATTAAAAGGACATTCCTAAGTTGACTTTTTGAAATTAAAGTATAAAACTGTCGAAGTAATTATTGGATAAATACTATCTTTTAACGATAGATTCATTTTCTACACACCACTAAGGATCCTCTCTAGCACAGCAAATGCTATTCTGATATTTGGTTTCACAGAAGAACCTGGTAAGCATCATACAGGCTGGGAGTTCCTTATTTACTTGAAAGTAAGAAAATTTACATATCTGAATATGTGCTATTGTTACCCCCAGATTGTTTCACTGAAATGTCTCTAAATTTATATAATCTTTTCCCATTTGTTGGGAGATTGCTGAAAAGCAAATGACATATTGATCCTTTCAGAACTGTTAGATGAAAAGAAAAGGGAGAATCACAGAGAACATAGAAGAAAAGGAAGGAAGGAGATAGGAGAACTGATAAGTGATCCTACTGGATAACTATTTAGTGAGCTACATGTACATCAGCATTTGAGAATTTATGAATTGACATAAAGCTTCCTGTTTTTGACCTAGTAGTATAAAGAAATTACTGCATATTGAAAACAAAAATTTTTAGACTTTTTAGAAAATTCACATAAGAAAGATTCTTTAATGAATTAATTTACATCTAAGTGTTTGAGTTCTTTAAAGTTATTTCTTACAAATCTGGCCTAGAATAACGAGTTTTTAATAAAAATGTATGCTTGGGGATTTATAACTTTATAATCTTCAGGGCTGAGGAAGAAGATGAAAGTTGTCATGTTTATAATTAGATATATTTTTATTTAAAATTATGATTGTATAATTTCATAAGAAAGACCTAGTGGTCCATTGTATAATGCTATCTATAGGTAAGCACATTGTGTAAGGAAAGCTTCATACTCTGCCTAGTTTGTGCTCTTCCTGTTTCATGTCCTGCTCGTCTGCGCATACCTGTTGCTATTTGTGTTAGTCATCCTCTCTAGGTAAATTGTCCATGAGACCAAGGATTCCATGAACAAATTATCCAGAAAATGCTGTCTTTGCACGTTGTGACAGATCATGTCACTGGTGGATTTATAGCTACTCCAGTGGTCTAATTAACCTGGCAGTTGTCTCCTGTGTCCAACACTGTTGTCTCATTGCCTTGGCATTTAGTTTTCATCTTCTCATTACCTTCTTAACTAAAGCTCAGATTTACAATTTTTTAAAAATGTAACCCCCTCAGCTCTCTCTACTCACTCCCTCCCACCCTTATTTTTGATTGGCAGTATCATCCAGATAAACAAAGTACAGATGTACCAGCAGGAACAGTGGAGGAATGTGTACAGAAGTTCATCGAAATTGATCAAGCGTGGAAAATTCTGGGAAATGAAGAGACAAAAAGAGAGTATGACTTGCAGCGGTGTGGTAGGTACTTGTGTTGAGGAGCCACAGCACATCGGCAACTCTTAGAAGCACGCTCTGCAGCCGTTCCTGGGGAGCATTTTCCAGCATGTGCTCCAAGTGTTGTTGCCTTTATTCCTCCCCTCCATCACTGTTTTTAATTATGCCCTATTATTAGCAGTGATTATTGTGTATCCATTGAGAAGTTAAGAAAACTACTAGGATGGGGCTTCTTGAGAAGCCTTGAAAGCTATTTTTTATTACATTTGAAAACTGTTTAATTACACATTCCTAATTAATATGCTTTATGTGTATAAAAACTTCTTTTTATTAAAATAAATATGTATGGATTACTATTTTAATTATAGTACTTTGAAGACTATACAGTATAAATAATAATCCAAATGAAGATACTATATATAAGATGACATAATAAAGCACTCTGCTATCTTTGAGCTCATTTTAGGCTGAGTTTCATGATTATCTTCAGGATAAACTATTCCTTATGATTGGTATAAATGATATTTTAGGAATGCAGATTACCTAAGCAATTTTAAAAGTCATTTCTTTTATGCTTTTTAGAAAATAGCTTCTTAAAACAGTGACAAGCTGTTGTGAGAAAGAAAGAGAGAAATGTAGGTCAGGTTTGTCACACATGGACTGCAGTTACACAAAGTGATAGGCTGTCTTTCAGCACTGGCCTAGGGACAGGAGTCCCTCAGCCTTGTGTTTGAACCTTCAATATGCACTCCACATGCTAATGGGAGGAGTCAATAATCAGTTACAGCCGGAGGGGAAAACACCCAATCGCTCTCTCCAATAGCACATCAGGCTCAGCATTGACTAGGATGTGTTGATAAAAGCTGACTGTCTCTGTAGTTGCTTATTGAATCCCCTCCCATGCCCTACAGTAGCACACCATCAGATCTCACAAGATGATTTTGAGGCTTTGTTAGCACTAAGGTTATCAAAATTTGATTTGAGAAGCAAGCCTTTATTTTTAAAACACAGCATTATAAGATGAAGCCAGTGACATTTGCAAGACATCCCTATTTATTTTCAGAGGGATTTCTACCAAAAAAATTGTTTCTTAAAGGCTGTGTGTGATACTTTTGTGTGGAAAGACTTGAACTGTTTATGTACTGGAGTATTTGTTTGTAAGAGTGACTTATTTATAGTACTAATCAGCTCTAAGGCCGTACTACTTTTTAAAAGACTGATGAGCTTAATTTTTTCTTAAATATTAAGAACCTGATGAGTGTACCTTTGCAAATAATTTGGATTAATTTTCAAAAATGGCTTGAATATTGGGTTCTTTTGCTGGGTGCATAATGAACATCTGTCTAATGTATTTATTTTTTAAGTGTGTTTGTACTTCTTGCAAAAGAATGTAGAAATGGCTTCATTTGATAAGTTCTACCCGTAGGTGTCTTTTTAACCTTGGTTCACATAATTTCTATGAAAGAATTGAAACTAATGCACATGAATGTGTTGTGTGTTAGAAATCTATGTTCCTAAAGCCACTACACTCTACTGGAGATGATGATTCTTTCATGTGTTTTTGCACATCTTTACTAGTCTCCAGTATATTGGATGCCAGTTTGCTTGAGATAAGAATAATTCACACAACATTGTACCCTAAAGAGTATAGGGTATATACTTTCAATGTCACTCTACATTTTTGCCACTGCACAGCCTATGTACTATTAAGAACATATTAGTGAAGTCGACTAGAAGCCTGCTTTCTAAAGAGAAAGAGGTAGGGAGAGATCACGAATCATAAAAATATTTTCTCAAGAAGCTACAGGGTGGGGTAGGCCAGAAACAGAAAGAAATAGGAAACCAGGTTAAAAGTGAGCATAGAATTGCATGAAGGAAGGTTTGAAAGATGTCAGAAGACAAATAATCACCATATTCATGACTTTTTCATTGTCTTCGAAAGGTCCTTAGAACTGTGGATTTCTTTTGAGCTTTGAGTCCTACTTTTAAGCTCTTAATGGAAGCACCTGTGGCCTGCTGTGTCACAGGGTACTCCTGTAGGTCATAGATGAGGTCACAATGAAGTTTAGACCAACTAAATACTGTGAGAGTTGGACCTGATTCATGATTCAGATAAATAGTTTGGAATTTATAAAATATCAGTTTGCTCTGCAAGTTTTTCAGGCAGCATATTACTGAATTTAGCTGTTCTAGAAGGACAGCTTTTCATGACACTTTAGTACCTCAGATTTAAGTACTAAGTATTTCCTCCTTTACCAGAGGCTCCAGATACTGAGATGACTTTGTTTCAATTTTAAATGGAGATTGACTTACTGTTTAGGTAAGAAGAGTATCCAAATATAATTGCTATTTTTAAGCCTTTCATACCAGAGCTATTTTTCAAAACTCTTGCAATAAACCTACTTTCATATTGTTACTTCTTTTGAATACTCTTATTAATTTTTTCTTCTTGACTCAGCTTCAGTAAAATGACTCCTCAAAAAAAAGGAAATGAACTTGAACTTCTCTAACAGTGATGATTTAGGTTTGCTGGAAGCAAAACCTTTGAGAGTAATAATTTGTTAAAGGCCAGGATAGGTTACCGAGAGAGAGAGTTTGTTATAACCAGGTCAAAGCACTCTTTTTTTCTGTGTCACCCCCTGGAGACATGGAAATAGCTTTGTTATACAGAACTCTTTTTACGTGTGGTGATAGTTCATTGTAAACCTTTCTTTTCATAGGGTGTGCTTTAAATATGTTTGTTTCCTGCCCACCATTAACTTGCAGTGTAAAATAAAATTGAGCTCTGTAATACTTGAGAAGGAGGTAGGAAATGCTTTATTAGCTGATCTTGAATGCTTTCTCATGTTTCACAGCTCCATGTTGGTGCTCTGTCTTAAGGAAAGCCTCATCAATATCGCCCACAGCCATATTTATCTAAAAGATAATTTAAAGGGACACTTGACATCCGTATTTCTTTGCTTCTCAAAAGAAATGATCAAATGTGTTCTTTCCAATAAAGAAGAAGTAATACTCCAGGGCAGATAACCTAAAGTATTGCACATCTGTTTTTTTCTCCCTCATTCCTACTTCTATATGCTTAGTTGACATTTCAGGGTAATGTTGGCCAGGCTGAAGAAAAGTAAATTTAAGAAAAAGATGAGTAATAATTAGTTCCCAGAGATTATACATTTTGAAAGTAATGTTAACTAGTGACTTTAATCAATTAGTTCTAGTTGGCATATTTACCTTATTGCTTCTGAGGATGCCTCCAAAGGCTGCTTCCAGTGTTCCGCAGAAAGGCATGTAGTTATTCAAGATTAGGCTTTGCATTTCAACCAGATGAGCACTTTGGAAAACCCTTTCAGGATTTATAAAATGTTCACATGAATAATACCTGTTGAGTAGATTTCATTGCCTTTGTAAATCTTGTGGGGAGTGGTCCTTATATATTAAGCACATTAAAAACACATCAGAATTATATCATGGGAAAATAATGGTTGTCATGATTCAGTAGCTTTGTAATGTGAAAGTCACAGATCCCTGATGTCTTAGTGGCTCTATAGAGTGACACAGCTTATGAGTTAAGTACTTCTCTGTGATCTGAAGAGTAGCAAACCTTCAAATACAGTTAATCAGATTAAATAATGTTTAAAAGAATAGATTGTGTTTGGAATCCTTGCTGATACATTATTTTATATTAGGATATATCTTAGTACTCTGTTAGTGAATTATTTTGGTAAGGTGGAACCTTCACTCTACATAATTGGATACCCAAAACAGCGTGGCTCAGAGGGGATTGGTCCAGATATTATAAAGTGAGTGTGCCTTTGCTCAAAGCTAATCAGCTGCTCTGCTTAGGTAGATACAAGAGGTCATTTCTGGTTTGTATTACACAATTTACTCCATCCCTTTATTACGATAAATATTTGGAAAGATAAGCAAATAAATGGAATGGAAGATAAGCAAATCTTAAAACAAATGAGGAACATACCTTAAAACCCCACCAACATGTGTCAGATAAATCAACATGTAATTTCTTGAACTCAAAATAAGAATCCTTCCTGAAAAGCATGTTAATGTTATAGAAACTCCGTAAGAGGGAAATATGTAGATAATATAAATTTTGGTTAACTGTTAGGAATAATAACTTAAGGCCAGTGGATATTTGTGAAATTGTGTCCTAAAGCTGACCCTTACAAAATACTTGAATTAGTGAGATTAGGGTCCATTTATGGTCATAATATTTCCATTTGATTTTAGGAATTTCAAAATTGGTTGTAAAAATTTGCTTCAGGTAAAACGTGGAAGATAAGCATCAGGGGGTATGTTTTTTTGGTGACCGTTTCTGAGAAAAATAAGTATGTGAAATGATGCAGAAAATCCATCTCGACAGTTGGGGACTGGCTTTATCTTGAGTGGGAGAAGACAGTATAGATAAAACTTTCTGTGCAGGTTCCCTCGCCCCAACTTACTTGTTGCAAGATGACTACTCACACTACTTGCTACTTTTACTTGAATGCAAATAACTGTTTGTGCAATGAAAATGTATTTTAGGATCATTTTTCATTGGTTTTGAGTAAAAGTTTGGCTACTTTCAAATAATGCTATAGAAACCTATGGGCAAGATTATAGTTATAATTCTGGGACACTTGAACAGACTTGAGAGTTCTGATTTAATGATGGAGAAGTCTAAAATTTTAGGAAGTTTTGTTTCCAACTTTAACCTCTCTCCCAACTTCCACTTGGTTACTTGACCCAATTGAAATCAGTGGGTCCAAAACCAAGACTGACTGAGTCACCTTTCTTATTTTTTCCTCAACCTTGGTTTCATATTACACTGTTTACTTCTACTTTGCTCTGGTTACAGTCAATGAATCAGAAATGCCAGTTGACATTTGTTCTTTTTTAATGTTGTTTCCCCTGTGTGAGCTTTTATTCTCACAGCTACCACAGTAGTCCATCCCCAGATTATAAAACATACCCAGATTATTTCCATATCCGCTAATTGGCCTTCCATTCTCTATTACTGCCTTCTCCCACAG